AGAAAGGACTTGTGTCGTTTAAGTTTCGTCGGAACGAAGTTACGGAAAATTAATTAACAAACGGAGACGTAACAATATGTAGTTTCGTGTTACAATTTGAATCCATTCTAGAAAAAAAAGGGCAATTTCGATTTTTTTTCGTGGTTACAAGGTCGGTTAATTTGACCAATCTTATATACTGTACATTTAGGGTATATAAAACATATAAAATATAAAACTTTACTGAAAACAAGTTTGAAATGTATTTAGGAGGTTTTACATATTACAGAAGTGACATTTGAGATTTTTGAGTTGAAGAAAAATATTTTTAATCTTAACATGAAATCACTTTGCACTAGAACTGGACAAAAAAGACTCGATATATTCACGGACAAATCTTCAGTAAAAATACTTCATTTAAAAACTGATTTTTTTGTGTACAAACAAACGACTTGTAATGTTTACTAAAAGTCTGCAAATTTTGTGAAGATACACTTAGTGCATTAAAATTATAGTGTTAAAACTATATGCAAGTAAAATATGTTCACGTGGTCGGTCCTGGGACCGAGCCTGTATTGGAAGAGTTAACCCTTTCGCTACGAATAGGTTTGTTTGTTCGTTTGTTTTAAATTTCGCGCAAAGCTACACGAAGGCTATCTACGCTAGCTGTCCCTAATTCAGCAGTGAAAGACTAGAGGGAAAGCAGCTAGTCATCACCACCCACCGCCAACTCTTAGGCTACTCTTTTACCAACAAATAGTGGGATTGACCGTTACATTATAACGTCCCCAAGACTGAAGGGGCGAGCATGTTTGGTGGGATAGGGATTCGAACCCACGACCCTCAGATTGCGAGTCAAACGCCTTAACCACCTGTCCGTGCCGGGCCTCTACGATTAGGTAAAGCGCGTATGCCACGGCCTTTTACAGTTATATTCAAAGCTTTATTAAACTACTTTATTATCAATCTATATCAATAAAGCTGGTATTAAACATAACATATAGATCAAATTTTAATAACATAAAAGTTTCAATTTCGTATTTTTAAAATTATATATATGTAAATGCCAAACTTCACTTTCTGTATATCGCATAACACTTCTTCAGTCTAAGCTGTTTATTTCAACATTTTATGCTACCCTCCAAGACATTGTAATTTTCTATGGAATTTCGAACTTACATTATATATATCCTCGAGTTAAACTCTCAATTTCTAGCAAGAATTTGCCACCAATACAGCTTTTGCTTTATGGAGATATCAGCAATAAAGTACTGGTCAAATGCCATGCC